AACCCACACAAGAGAGTGGCCAAGGTGACATGATTCGGAACCGTGCCATGCCTGCACATTTCGACGAAGAGACCAAAGGCTTCACGAAACTGGTTGTTCTGAGCATAGCCACCGATCAGCATTGTCCATGTAACAACCGTGCGGTGAAGCATGCTGTCAAACATGCTCCTAGCAGTGGAAAGATTGCCAGAGTTGATGTAACCCATGATCATGGTGTTGGTGGAGATGGTGTTCTTGTGAGGCATTTCGTCGAACAGTTTGAGTGCTGCATCCAAATTCCCACGTTGTAGAAGAGTCTTCACTTGGAAATTGGAACGGTACGTTGTGAGGTCGAAACCTCTCTTGATGATGGAAGCATCGACCTGAAAGTGTCGTTTTGGAGATGCCAAAGTTCCGATGCCGTTTATCCTCGTACATGCTTTTACGTAATTCATGGAATGAAAACGAAAAATGGGAACTTTTTTTTGGCGCCAAATTGTGCTACTTAATCACAAACACATAGTCGTATCACAGCTACATCGCATGACGTGGCCCAACTTTTAATTTTAGTTACAAAATCTCTTTAAAGAAACAAAAAAACAAATTGTAAACATGTGATTAAATTTTATAATTCTCGATAAAAGTACAAAGTTTATGGTGTTAAAAAAAAGTTGAACTTTCAAAATAAACATGTAATTTAGATTAATTTGGATGTATATTTTAATTAAATTCAACTCTTTAAAATTAATTGGTTAAATAGTACATATAATTTCATAAGTTTTATATTTTAATTTGCATAGTTAAAAGTATTACATTTTAAATATTAGACATACAATTTTTTCTATTTCTTTATAATCTCTCTCTTTTCAGAGATTTTTTTTATAGTTTCTATATCTTTCTAAATTTTATCTTTTAATTTCTATAATAAATTGACGATATAAGTTTAAATGAAATAAAAATAATATATATATAAGAATTAAAATAAAATATTAATAAATTAAATTAATTTTTACTCAACTCTAAATCAAATGGATACCTTTATCTTTCTATTAGAGCCAAGATGATTAATATTTTTCACTGTAGAAAAAAACTAATATCTTAAATTTTTAAACAACTAGTATTTTTAAGCTACGAAATGTTTATTATATATAATTAAAATTTATAATAAATTATATATAAATAAATATTATATTTAAATATATACATGATACTTAAAATTTATAATAAATTATATATAAAATAAATATTATATTTAAATATATACATGATACTTAAAATTAAATAAATATTTTTTTAAACATATAAATTATATTTTTAAATTTATGATAAATAATTTATATATATTATAATAAAAGATTATTTTTATTTATTGATAATTTATTTTAAAATATTAAAATTTAATTTATAAATAATTATTTTTATTTATTGATTCGGAATATGTTTACACTTGTATAGCAGTATTCTATTATTTTTGAGATGTAGCGTATTCCGTTTCGTGGTCTAGTTTGCTCTACCTCTAATGTGATCTTCTGATTACAAATTCAGAATGAGGCAACTGTGCACACGGAGTGACAGTAAACAAAAATTTAGGGGGATTTTTATTTTTGACTAAATTATATTTTTAAACACCTTTATTTAATTTTAGAATTCAATTATTATTTTTAAAAAATTTAATTTGATCTTTTAATTTTTAAAAATATTTAATATTATTTTTTCATTTAAATCAATACTAGCAATATTTATAAAATTAGATCAAATGACAATATTAAACATTTTATGAAAATTAGAGGATTAAATTAAACATTTTAAATGATTCAATTTGATTATTTAATTTTTAAATAATGTTCAATGTTATCCTTCTATCGAATTTCATTAACATCATTAATGTTGATTTAAATGTAAGGATAACATTGAAAATTTTTAAAAAAACTAAAAAAATAAATTGAATTATTTAAAAATAATGAAACCAAATTAAATCTTAAAAATAAATAATAATTTAATCTTTATTATTTTTTTTAGCGTTTCACACTAAGGAAATCTTTTATGATGTTGGCACAAGATTATTCTATATATATTTATTTAAGTATAAAATGAAGTACTTAATGGTAGAATTATCAAAGTGAATTTTGCTTCGTGGGTCAATTTGGTCTATTTTGAAAATGAATCGAGTCAGACAAAAAAAATTAAAATTCATAAATGATCACAAAATTCAACCCACCCACTTTTGATCTGATTCGCTCGGATTAAACCCATAATGATTCAAATTTTCCATCTAACTAATGACGGATTCAGAAATTTTAGACAGTGAGAGCAATGCTTATTTATATATTTGTAGTGTTAAAAATTTCATGTATAACCTTTTATAGACATAAATATATATCATAATTATTTTTTACAAGTTTTTATATATAGGATTATAATTAAAGATGAAAATAAATTAGGTTAGATTAGATTTTATTATAATTTAGTAAGTTTGAACCTAACTTTCTTTAAAAATATATATCCGAAGTATGACTTATTTATCTAAGACATTTTTTAAATGTTTGGGTACAATTCTAAAGACCTACTTTATAATAATTTAATATTATTAAAAAAAATAAAAATAAAAATGTTAAATTTTATAAAAATCAAGTTTAATTTATTTATGATATAAACATGTTTTTAATATCTAATATATATTTTTAGATGATAATTTATTTTAAAATATCTATAATTATTAATAAAGGGAATATATTTTTAAATAATCACTTTTGTCTCCATTATTTTTATAGATTTTTTTACCCTTCGATTATGCAATAACTTCTTATAGATAAGAGATAAAATGGAGAAAATATAAATATAAAAAAATTGTAACCGTCCATGTAACTATTAGAGACACGAAGTGTCTCGGCCTCTTTAGTATTTTATAATAACATTTCTAAATGAAACATAAATGGAACGTAGTTTAAAAAAAATATAGGTGATTTAGTAGCTCAGAACGGGTCGTTCCCAATCTGGAACGGGCTGTTCCAAGGTATTAAATTGACCTGTAAATTGTGGTTGAGAACGGGTCATTCTGGAGGGAAAACGGGTCGTTCCAAACCCCAAAACGGGCCATTCTAGAGGGAGAATGGGCCGTTCTGATTGGAGAACGGGTCATTCTGGATGAGTTCCAGAACGGGCCATTCTGATTTCAGAACGGGCCGTTCTGCATGTGATTGTTGCCCATGATAAAGGCGTGCAGAACGGGCCATTCCGGATTCGGAACAGGCCGTTCTAGCCACTCCAGAACTTCTATAAATAGGGATTGGGGATAGTTGAGGAGAATGAGTTTTTAGAGAGAAGTTTTAGAGAGAAGGACTCTGGGTCTGTGAGCTCCTTTATCTCCCAAATTTCTCTGTATGATTCCTTTTTTCCTCTAGATCACTAATGTTTTCTGTGTTTCCTTGAAATTCATATTAGGAAGCTTGCTATGCGAGGATTGAAGTTTCGGGTTGAGCTTCGGAAGGGAATACTACTTCTCAGTTATTGGCTATTTTGAGTCAATATTCAGGTGAGGGAAGCTAGAATGTTTGTTGTTTAGGTTGCATGTGAGTTTAGAAACTCAATAGGTGCATGAATGTTGAGAATCCATAGTTGGATTGAAGAAAATCTCATTTTTGGGTTTTGAGAATCATGAGGATTTTGATGATTTTGATGCATAGGTTGGATGCATGTGAGATTTAAGTTTATTTTGAGTCGTATGGAGCCTATGCATTGTGTTTTGTGTTTGCATGTGGGTGAATTTGTTAGTTTGGATGAGAGTTTTGAACTCTCTGACTGGGATTTAGGCCGGGCGCAGGTTGAGCGCATCAAGCGTGGAAGAGCATAGGGCTCTCGGGTTGGATGTTGGGCCACACGACACTTGAATATTAAAAAAATAATAATTTCCAATGAGGATAATGATACTTGAATATTAAAAATAATAATAATAATAATAATAAATCAAATAATAATGTTATAAAATGTCGAAATATTTGAATTGTAAATTTATAAATATAATAAATTGTTGTAAGATAAAGAAGAGGATATATATAATGTTACAAAAGTATAAATAAAAAATTGATCAGAAAAAAATTATATTGTTCCAGAATCCTATAAATAATTGAAAGATAAAAGAATGGTCATACAATATTATTTTAAAAATAAAAAAAGACAAAAATTAAAATTGTAACAGTGGGAGTTATAAATGCATTTAAAATAATAAAATTACTTATACATCACAATTTATGACGATTCTTTGATTTATCTAATATTAGCATTATAAGAAAACAAAAATTCGCTCGAATAATATATACTCTTTTCTTAATTAGTAAAAAAATTTAATGATAATAAAAATTAATTTTAAATTTTTATGCAATTATTCTGGTCCTCAATCAGAATAATCTATACTATTTGAAGAAAAAAAAAGAAGGTTATGATGTACCGGCATTTATGTGAAATAAATAAAATTTACATTCTAAAATATAAAAAAAATATATAAAAAAATAGATTATTAAAAAATGTGGTTTAAAAACATGATAGATATTTAACTTCACTTATAAAAAAAAATTAATGATAGCATAAGAAATGTATTTTTTTACGATTATTAATTAAACATCTTTAATAATCATATGAAAATAGACTTCTTTTGTAATAATATCAAATCTTTTAAATAAACTTCTTTTGTAATAATATCACATTTTCTCCCTCTTTTTTAAGCTTAAATAAAATAAAATAGCATAACATTAATGTCATCAAACTGATCAAAGTAAAACAATTCATCTTCTTTAGCTCCATCAACTCTTTCATATTAAAAATTAAATTAATTCATCACAGATAAAATAAAAATTCATCTTAAAACATATTTTAAAAAAATGTAATACCAAGCATTAAAATCCCTAAAATGAGGCTATATACTGGTCTCATACATGCCCCCAACTGAACTATAACCCACACAAAGAAACAGGAAGACGAAACTTCTAAGAAGAAAAGGAAGAACATTCAAAACGGAGAAATTAAAAAAAAATTTGAACCATTTCTCGATGCAAGAGCCATGCTAATCTTCTATGTATCGTTCCAATTTTATCGGATATCCCCGAAGGAACAACATTGCTGCTGCGGTATCTAGTTATAAACACTAATATCATGTTAAGTTCAGCCGCCGGTGTGGGACTTCTGAGAGAAAGGAAAACGAAACAATACAAAGATGAACCAGCTGAAGCAAACAATGTAAGAAACATGAAGCATTTCTCTCTCAATTGATTCCAAAGCTAATGAAAGAAGGATCTAGAAGATTTTAATTAATATAATATAATATATATTTCTCCGCACAAAAATCAGTGGGACTTATTACTTACTATAGCTCTATCATGACGCTACTCTGCACACTGCACCCTATATCGATTTGACATTAGTATAAATTAGTATATTTTATTCCCTACATTTCTCTCATTTTTAACAAGAAAACTAATATACTTATGTTAAGTAGGGTTGTTTAAATGGGCTTGTTCAGTCGTTTGACTAAACCCATTTCAACACATTTTTTTAAGTAGATTTATCTAACTAAATTTGCCTTCTTTAAGTGTTTAAATATTTTTGGCTCGACCTCGTCCCTTATAGATTTGTGGGCTGCACGGATTGGTCCATCTAATTTTTTTAAATAAAAGTATCCAATTTAAAAAAAATTTAATTTAAAATAAATTTTAATCTAAAATAACTTTTAGATAAAATAAAAATTGTTAAACTAAACAATTGTGTATACAACATTAAATTTAATTAAAAAAATGCAGAATTTTAAATAATTAAAACAAAAATAAAAATTATTATCATTGGAGTAATTGTCCATCAATATTAAATTTCATTAGATGTTTGGACAAATAAATTTATAACTATTTCTTATTGTTGAACATCAATTTTATCTTTTTCTAAAGAAAATAGTACCTTTATAAGATAATATATATGTAACAATAAATAGTTAAATTGATCATTGGTAGGTTAGATTAATAGGAGGCATAAGTATGTTAGATAGACAATATGAATCATTATGGGTTGAATCCGAGTCAGTCAAATCAAAAGTGGGAGGGTTGAATTTTATGATTATTTATGAATTTTAATTTTTTTTGGTTTGACTCGATTCATTTTCAAAATAGACCAAATTGACCCACGAGTCAAAATCCACTTTGATAGTTCTACTCTTAAGTACTTCATTTTATACTTAAATAAATATATATAGAATAATCCTATGCCAACATCATAAAAGATTTCCTTAGTGTGAAATGCTAAAAAAATAATAAAGATTAAATTATTATTTATTTATTTATTTTTAAGATTTAATTTGGTTTCATTATTTTTAAATAATTCAATTTAATTTTTTGGTTTTTTAAAAATTTTCAATGTTATCCTTACATTTAAATCAACATTAATGATGTTAATGAAATTCGATAGAAAGATAACGTTGAACATTATTTGAAAATTAAATAACCAAATTGAATCATTTAAAATGTTGAATTTAATCCTCTAATTTTCAAAAGATGTTTAATATTGTCATTTCATCTAATTTTATAAATATTGCTAGTATCAATTTAAATGAAAGAATAATATTAAATATTTTTAAAAATTAAAAGATCAAATTAAACTTTTTAAAAATAATAATTGAATTCTAAAATTAAATAGAGGTGTTTAAAAATATAATTGAGTCAAAAATAAAAATCCCCCTAAATTTTTGTTTACTGTCACTCTGTGTGCACAGTTGCCTCACAATATTCTGAATTTATAATCAGAAGATCACATTAGAGGTAAAGCAAACAAGACCACCAAACAGAATATGCTACATCTAAAAAATAATAGAGTACTGCTATACAATTTTTTTTTGTTTTTGAAATGGGGGGCGTTAAAGCCCAGATATATTATTTAAAACCAAGAGGGAAAAGTACAGCAGACTTGTCCGCAAACAAAAGAAAATGAGCCTAAATAGAGGGGCATGAAAGATTTTAATTTCAGAGGGAATAGAAGACCCTTCCTTAGCAAACCTATTTGCTACTTGGTTTGCCTCTCGAAGAACATGGTTGCACTCTAGCTTATGAAAGTCAGCTGCTAGGGAGTAACATGAATGATTATGAGAGCATCCTTCATTCAAGAATTTCACCGCTTCTGTAGAATCCGATTCAATAAAAATATAGGCTTGTAGAAAACGTTCTTTAATAATGCGGAGGCCATGATATATTGCCCATAATTCAGCTTGCACTATCGAGCAAGACCCAACCATTCCAGTAAACCCCATAATAAAGGATCCATTACTATCACGTAGGACACCTCCACAAGAGGCCAAATTAATGTTGGAAACAGCCCATCACAATTTAACTTAAAGGCCCCCGTAGTAGGAGGCACCCAACCTAATTGAGGAATTTGGTAGGCCTAGTGGGGTGATGATAAACTTTTAACGTAAGAGGTGTTGGCTAAAAGTTGTATTCAGCCAAATATCTCTCCAACCACTTGATTTGTATAGATTGGAGCAAGCCTAAACACATGTGCATTCCGAGCCTTCCATAGCGAATCAAGAGTGATGACAAAGAGTTGAGTCCACCACGAATTCGTTCCAATCATATTCTTACTCAACCAATCTACCAGACAGTCTGAGAAGAAACCATTATCAAGTCCACCCCTTGCCATGTGCTGCCAAACGCATTTAGCATGCATGCAATCCCGTAAGCAATGTAGTACATTTTCAGGTGCCTCATGACAGATTGGACAACTATTATCCTGCACTAAATTACAAACAAATCTCCAATCGTTAGTGCATATACTCTCTCTTGCTACTCTCATAGGAAACACCTCACCCTTTCAGGCCCACGCCAACGCCAGATACTTTTGAACAAGGGGTGTGCATTGCTGATACGATCTGGTTTTAAAGACTTGTATGCATTTTTTATTGAAAAGCCTCCATCCCGAGAGCCACCCCATACCAGCTGGTCTTCGTCATTTTCCACGTGCAAGGTTGCAACCCCAAGATCTCGAACTGCACTTACCAGGGAATTAACTTGTGGAATTCCTCAACCTTCCAGTCACCTTCAGTTGAAACATAGTCGTGTACTGTTATACAAGTGGAAACATATTTTGAATCAACAAATAAAAACAATTATTTATAAATTAAATTTTAATATTTTAAAATAAATTATCAATAAATAAAAATAATCTTTTATTATAATATATATAAATTATTTATTATAAATTTAAAATATAATTTATATGTTTAAAAAATATATTTATTTAGTTTCAAGTATCATGTATATATTTAAATATAATATTTATTTTATATATAATTTATTATAAATTTTAATTATATATAATAAACATTTCATAGCTTAAAAATACTAGTTGTTTAAAAATTTAAGATATAAGTTTTTTTTCTACAGTGAAAAATATTAATCATCTTGGCTCTAATAGAAAGATAAAGATATCCATTTGATTTAGAGTTGAGTAAAAATTAATTTAATTTATTAATTTTTTATTTTAATTTTTATATATATTATTTTTATTTCATTTTAATTTATATCGTCAATTTATTATAGAAATTAAAAGATAAAATTTAGAAAGATATAGAAACTAAAAAAAAAATCTCTGAAAAGAGAGAGATTAAAAAGAAATAAAAAAAACTGTATGTCTACGAGTTAAAATGTAATACTTTTAACTATGAAAATTAAAATAAATTTATGAAATTATATGTACTATTTAACCAATTAATTTTAAAGAGTTGAATTTAATTAAAATATACATCTAAATTAATCTGAATTACATGTTTATTTTGAAAGTTCTACTTTTTTTTAACACCATAAAAGTTGTACTTTTATCAAAAAATATAAAATTTAATCACATGTTTACAATTTGTTTTTTATTTCTTTAAAGAGATTTTGTAACTAAAATTAAAAGTTGGGCCACGTCATGCGATGTAGCTTTTTTTTTTTGGTATTGAAAGGGGCTAACCGCCCAAACTAAAAGCCACGAAAAAAGGGCACTGCAGAAGCATCCACTAACAGAGGTAAATGTAACCATGCAGGAGGGGTATGGAAAATTTGGATACCCTCTAACATTGTCAACCCTCTCTTGGCTAAAACATCAGCCACTTGATTGGCCTCTCTGAACACAAGCCTACAATTAACAAGAGATACAGTATGAGCCATACTGACTACTTTGTTACACAAAGAATAACAAGGATGATGCCTGTTGCACCCATCATTCAAGAAGTTAACAGTTATAACAGAATCTGACTCAACAAATAAGTCTCCAGATATTCTGATATCATGTGCAAGCTTGAGGCCATAGTAAACAGCCCAAAGCTCAGCTTGGACAACTGAACACAAACCAATCTTGCAGGAGAAGGCCACAACAAAGGATCCATGGTGATCACGAATGATTCTCCCACAAGCAGCTCCAGAACCAACCACTACAGCCCCATCACAGTTCAATTTAAAGGCACCTGTAGGTGGTAAGGTCCAAGAGATATGACTGTGCAGTAAATTATAAACAGCACCTTGATTTAGCTTAAGAGGAGAAGAGAAAGCCTGATTGATACAAGAAGTCCGAGCTTGAATCTGAACGACAAGACTGGAAACATTTGGATCTGTATTACGGAAAACCACATTATTTCTCATAGTCCAAATAGCATCCAAAGCAACAACAAACAAAATATCCCCTTGTTGAAGCAAATTCCACTCTAGCCACAACATCCAATCCATAGTAAAAAAATTTGTATGCAACCTGCCATTGAAAATGTTAATCCAAACACTCCTGGCCACGTTACAGTCACGCATAGCATGGATTAATGTTTCTAACTCATCATGACAAACTGGACAAAGAGGATCCATTGTCATTCCTCTACGCATACGCAAGTCATTGGTTAAGAGACTGTTGTGAGCTAAGCGCCAAAGAAAGGTTCGTATCCGTCAGGCCCTCTCCAATTCCAAAGTAGTTTGAACACCTTCTGACGTGAACTCACATCCGCAGGACAAAGAAACTCATATCCTTAAGGAGAATTCACCGTCAGCTGCATTTTTCCAAGCTAAAACATCCTTATCCGGGCTAAGACCAGGAGCTGGTTGTCCAAGGATGACATTAAAAATATCAGGAGGTAGTAAATGCTCAATACTCGATAAGTTCCACTCACCAAATTGATCAACATAATCTGCAACATGTTTATTAATCTCCTGTATTGGTACAAAGTGAACTGCCTCAGAGATGAGCTTGCGAATGGCAGGAATCCAATGGTCAAACCCTAAACCCACAACTTCTCTGGATGCGTACAAATCTGCCAACAAATCTTCATGCAGAAAAGAGAATTCAAGACTTTAGAGCTCCGCAAGCCAAGACCACCATCTAACTTAGGGGTGCAAATGATTGGCCACGACACAGCATGAACATGCCGCTGGTGGTCATCATCTCCCCAAAGGAACCCCCTACTTTTCTATCCAGCTCATCACATAATTGGCGGGGAAGGAAAGTAGTTTGCATGGCATAAGAAGGAAGGGCAGCAAGAACCGATTTGGTTAGAGTCAATCTGCCAGCAAAAGACAAAGTACGAGCTTTCCAATTGCTCATCCTTCTATTAACTCTCTCCATAACTCCTTGGTAAGTAAACTTATTCACTCGTTTATGTAAGATAGGAACCCCCAGGTACTTTCGCAAGTCATCAGTCCGCAAAAAACCAAAAGCATGACTGATTTGTTGACGAACCTGCTAAGAGACATTTTTAGAAAAAAAGATTCGAGTCTTATCAATACTCACCTTTTGGCCATAACTCTTACAAAATAAATCAAGACAAGTCTAGATAATTTCCACTTGATCCAATGAAGCATGCGCAAAGAGAACGAGATCATCAGCAAAAGCAAGATGTGACAATTTGGGTCCATCCCTACTCAACTGTATTGGGTTCCAAAGGGCATGCTCAACCGCCACTTCAATTAAATGAAAAAGCCTTTCCATACAAAGCACAAAAAGATAGGGCGATATGGGGTCACCTTGGCGAATGCGTCTTGAGAGGGAAAATTATTCAAGCACTTCACCATTCCACAACATTCTAAATTTAGGAGTAGAGATACAAGCCCAGATAAGATTAATAAAGGAAGTTGGGATCCCTATGTCCTGAAGGGTATCCTTAACAAAGCACCACTTCAGGCGATCATAGGCCTTCTCCAAATCAATCTTAATTGCCATCCATCCAACTTTCCCTTTTTTATTCCGCATAGAGTGGACCACTTCTTGAGTGATAATAATATTGTCACTGCTATGCCTATCTAGGACAAAGCTACATTGGTTAGGGCCCACCAAATCCTTCATAATGGATCTCAACCGATGAGAAAGAACCTTACAAAGGATTTTATAGGAAACATTACACAAACCTATCGGTCTCATATGTTTCAAGGAAGACACATTATCTGACTTAGGTATTAAAGTAATGAAAGTGTCATTCACAGTAGCTATCTTACTCGGATGTGCTTCAAACTCATGAATCAATGAACAAATGGATGGCCCAACTGTACTCCACTACGTTTGATAGAAGATAGGTTGAAAACCATCTGGCCCTGGAGCTTTAAAACTCCCCATTCTTCTAATTGCACCAAAAATTTCATCCTCAGTGATATCCCTACCAAGATTTTGCATAAGCGAATCATGAACTTCTGGAAAATAACCAGTAAGATTGAAAGGGGTATAAGGATCAATATCCTGAAAAAGGTCCTTATAAAAATTTGTAACCAAACCTTCTAACTCAGCCTTATCACTAACCCACCGTCCTGACTCATCTTGGAGCATCTCCACCTTATTTCTTCGACGACGAATAACAGTGGTACCATGGAAATACTTGGTGTTTCTATCCCCCAGACACAACCATTTGCAACGAGATTTTTGGAACCAGAGAAGTTCCTCACGAACCAAGATATTCTCATATTCGGACCAAAGATCAAGTTGAAGCTTCTCGAAGTATTTATTCGGTCCCTCTTGCAGCTTGAGCAGAATACCATTTAATCTTCTAATAATTCTCCTTTTTTGAAAGAAGATGTTGCCAAATATTGATTTGTTCCAATTTTTCAAACAACCCTGCATGTGATCAATTTTATCATTCCAACCAACAACAACATTCCACTTTGCTTTAACCAAGTCAGCAAAGTTCTCGTATGTCAACCAAGCTGACTCAAATCGGAAGGGGCGCCTTGAGGAAAATGAAAAGCGATCATAAGTCATTCTCAATAAGAGAGGACAATGGTCTGATTTTAACGGATGCAAATGAACAATGGTTGCTTCCGAAAAAAGGAGACACCAATCCATATTAGCCAAACCCCGATCAAGACGCTCTTGAAGCTGACCCCGATTCCAAGTGAAAGGAGCACCTTGAAACCCTAAATCCACCAAATTGCAATCTTCAACCAATTCCCGAAAAGCTCTATCACCTCTAACAGACGCAGTATTAGAGCCTCCTTGACGCTCATGATCTCGAAGAACAGCGTTAAAATCTCCAAGAAGACACCAATAATCAGTCATGCCCGAGGAGAGATTACGAAGCTTCCTCCATAACTCTACACGAAATTGGCTATGAGGACTAGCATAAATGAAAGTAAGAAACCAAGATTTGCCACCATGGCTAACACGACAATGAATGAATTGGTTTGAATGATCCAAAACATTAAGCTTCCACTTTTAACTATCCCAGAGTCACCATAAACCACCCGCTTATCCCTTTTTCTCCACCATAAAGGATCTGTCTAGCGAAAGCCTGCTGATGATTCTCTTTGCTCTATCGCCATGAATATGCATTTCTAACAAACAAAGAATACCTAAGTTGTGCTCCTTGATTAGGTCATTAACAAGACCAACGAAACCTTTAGTTCCCGCACCTCGACAATTCCAAGTTAAAACATTCATTGGGAATTGTTTGAGGGGGGAGGGTGTCACACCCCAGAAGATCGTGACTGACTCCCAGCCATATTTGGACTGTTTAGAAACATAGGAAGGAACCTGGTTTGAAGAACATCCGCCAGGGTCAATGTGTTTCCTCATGGCTTCTGCAAAAGCTATAGTATCATCATCTGGGCCCACAACTTTAGAAATCACATTATCCATCCTACCAAATAACGTAGATTGATTTGCCAAGGCCCATTCCATGCTTTTAATACCCTTAAGTACCATATCTGTATTGTGAGACTAAGTAAAGCCCATACCGACAGGACTTGCATCTTCAATACTAACAGGGCCACCACCATCTCGGCCTTCTGGGCCAATAGAGGTTTGGCCCAACATTCCTTTAGTCACATAAGGGGCAGGCCTTTTCAAATTTTTGGTTAATCCACGTCCCTTTTTGCCACGTGGCTGGGGATTTTTTCCGCCTAATCCATTGCGAACTTTCACAATACTACCCGTACCACTAGTGGGAGCAATATTCTGATTCTCCTGCTTTCCCAAATTTTGATCCTCGCTCACTGCCACGTTGGTCTCCTGCAAGCAATCGTACCTTGACCCTGTCATAACGGGTTTGGCAGAATTGTCGTATGCCACCAACGCCTGCTCCACCTTCTTGTCAACAACCTTCCCTATCCTTTTGTTCCCTTTCCGCACTAACATCCAAGGACCGTACAAGTCCAGGGAGTTGGGGCGAATTTGATTAGCAGGAGCCTCATCCTTATCAAAGGATTTAGTATTGACATCAACAACCCCTGTATTCCCTATTTCCACCTTCATTGAACTGGAATTTGTATCATTCTGAGCCATCACCATCACGTTGCATGATGGCAGAACAACATTAGTGCATTGAGATTTCTTGTGCCCATACCTCCCGCATTCAAAACAAATAGAATGTAATCCTTCATACTCAAGCTTGAGTATATGCCCCAAAACATTGATATGAGAAACAAGTTTCCTTCCCAAGTCGATCTCAACACAAATAAGGGCAAATCGTCCACGAGATTGGACAGACGTGAGCTTATCAATTTTTAACATATTGCCCAGTTTAGAACCTACGCGCCAGAGGAATTTATCCTTAAACAACTCAATGGGCAGGTTGGGAATGCGAATCCAAACAACTATTTTCTAGACTTTTGCTGAAGTCACGAAAAAGAAAGGATGCCATCTCTGGACCACTATATAATGGTCCATAATCATCCAGGGCCCTTCAAATAGAGCGTGTTGATAGTCTTCCGCCGCTATAAATTGCACCAAGTAGAAATCTTCTGGCATGTTGACAATACGAATAGAACTAGATTTTGCCCATTCACGTTGCAGTTTATATTCTAGCATCCTAAAGTTTACCTTTTTCCCCAAGACATTCACAATCAAGGAGTTTTTCCATGGAGCACACCATTCCTCGAATTCCTGCAAAGTGACCGGAATTGATGGGCATGGGTCTAAATCCTGAGTGGAGCTTTCTGGCTGCTGAGATGCATCACTACAAACTGCATCAGAAAATGTTTCCATTTCCTTCAATAGATGTCTATAATCAGTAAAATCCTGACCTCCATCCAACGCTAACAGACTGTCCATATAAGACCTTGGGGCTTTGGTAGGAGACCCAAGATTAACATCAACCTCTGCCATTGTCACTTCAATCGCATCATCTCCCACCTTCATTTTCACCTTCTTAGTGCTTCGATCAAGCTAGGCGGCCTTTTTCTCAGCACTCGCCTCCAAAACGCTCAGAGCATTTTCGCCACTCATTATTTTTTTAATGTGATACGAGTATGTGTTTGTGACTAAGTAGCACAATTTGGGGCCAAAAAAAAGTTCCCATTTTTCGTTTTCATTCCATGAATTACGTAAAAGCATGTACGAGGATAAACGGCATCGGAATTTTGGCATCTCCAAAACGACACTTTCAGGTCGAGGCTTCCATCATCAAGAGAGGCTTCGACCCCACAACGTACCGTTCCAATTTCCAGGTGAAGACTCTTCTACAACGTGGGGATTTGGATGCAGCACGCAAACTGTTCGACGAAATGCCTCACAAGAACACCATCTCCACCAACACCATGATCATGGGCTACATCAACTCTGGCAATCTTTCCACTGCTAGGAGCATGTTTGACAGCATGCTTCACCGCACGGTTGTTACATGGAAAATGCTGATCGGTGGCTATGCTCAGAACAACCAGTTCTGTGAAGCCTTTGGTCTCTTCGTCGAAATGTGCAGGCATGGCACGGTCCCGAATCATGTCACCTTGGCCACTCTCTTGTCTGGGTTCACTGGATTTGAAAGTGACAATGAAGTGGGACAAGTGCATGCCCAGGTTGTCAAGTCAGGGTATGATTCCACCCTCATGATTTGCAACTCTTTGCTTGATTCTTACTGTAAGATGCGTAACCTTGGCTTGGCTTATCACCTCTTCAAGCAAATGCTAGAAAAAGACACTGTCACTTTCAGTGCATTGTTGACGGGGTACTCCAAAGAGGGGTTCAATCATGATGCCATAAACTTATTTTTCAAGATGCAGGATTTGGGGCTTAGGCCAACAGAATTTACTTTTCGTGCGGTTTTAACTGCAACGATACAGTTGGATGATATAGAATTTGGGCAACAAGTTCATAGTTTTTTGGTGAAGTGTAATTTCGTGTGGAATGTGTTTGTGGCTACTGCTTTGCTTGATTTCTACTCGAAGCATGACCGTGTTGTTGAAGCTAGTAAACTTTTTGATGAGATGCCGGAGGTGGATGGTATCTCTTACAATGTGCTTGTCACGTGCTATGCATGGAATGGAAGAGTGGAAGAATCTCTTGAACTTTTCAGGGAGTTACAGTATACTAGATTTGACCGGAGGCAATTCCCATTTCCTACCTTGTTGAGTATCGCTGCAAATGCTTTGAGCCTGGAAATAGGTAGGCAAATCCATTCCCAGACTTTAGTAACAAATGCCATTTCAGACAGTCTAGTTGGAAATGTTGTGGTTGACATGTATGCTAAATGTGGCAAATTTGGGGAAGCAAAGAGGATTTTTGCAGATCTGCCTCATCAAAGTTTAGTTTCATGGACAGCCCTGATCTCGGGTTATGTTCAGAAGGGACTCCATGAAGATGGCCTAAAGCTATTCATTGAGATGCAAATAGCCAAAATATGTGCTAACTCGGCTACTTATGCCAACATCTTAAGAGCCTGTGCGAATCTAGCTTCACTGACACTGAGAAAATAGATACAGTCGCATATTATCAGATCAGGATGCATTTCAAATGTTTTTTCGGGGAGTACACTGGTTGACATGTATGCAAAATGTAGATCAATAAAAGATGCACTTCAAATGTTTCAAGAGATGCCTGTGAGGAATTTGGTCTCTTGGAGTGCACTGATTTCAGCTTATGCACAAAACGGAGACGGCGACCATGCTCTTAGGTCATTTGAGCAAATGGTTAATTCAGGTCTGCAACCAAATTCCATTAGCTTCCTTAGCATTTTATGTGCTTGCAGCCATAAGAGAGCATTACGCATCCATGGTTGATATGCTATGTCGCAGTGGAAGATTTGATGAGGCTGAGAAATTGATGGCTCCGGTTCTTTAACTCCATGACTCAAGTGTATAAACTTGTACCCATAAGAGAGCATTACGCATCCATGGTTGATATGCTATGTCGCAGTGGAAGATTTGATGAGGCTGAGAAATTGATGGCTCTGATGCCTTTTGAAGCGGATGAGGTAATGTGGACATCAGTTCTCAACTCATGCAGGATCCATAAGAATCAAGAGTTGGCAAAGAAAGTAGCAGACAAACTATTCAATATGGAGGTCCTTAGAAATGTTGCTCCATATCCTAGCATGTCCAATATCTATGCAGCAATTGGTGAATGGGAGAATGTACGAAAGGTGAAGAAGGCAATGAGAGAGCGAGGGGTTAGAAAAGTGCCAGGATACAGTTGGGTTGAAATCAAACAGAAGACACATGTTTTCTCAGCCAATGACAAGTCTCACCCACAGATGAAAGAGATAACCAGGAAGCTTGATGAACTGGAAGAGAAAATGGAGAAACAAGGGTATAAACCTGACTCATGTTGTGCCCTTCACGATGTGGACGAGGAAGTCAAGTTAGAGTCCCTAAAATATCACAGTGAACGCATTGCCATTGCCTTTGCTCTCATTAGCACCCTAGAAGGGTCACCCATATTGGTATTGAAGAACCTAAGAGCCTGTAACAATTGCTATGCTGCCATCAAGGTAATCTCCAAGATTGTAAACTGGGAAATCACCGTCAGAGATTCAAGAAGATTCCGTCACTTCAGAGATGGATCTTGTTCCTGTAAGGACTATTGGTAGGTTGTCTTTGTTTCCTCAACAAAATCATCATTTTTGTTTTTGTTAAAAAAGGTACAAAAAACCTTTATTATGGATTCGTTTTCATTGCTAGATCACACACTTTTCTTCTATATTCATTTGTACCATTTTTTATACCAAAATCTTCTCAAGGCCAAGAAATTCTTATTTTTATTCTTTCCATACAATAAATGTCGCACAAATTTGGATCCTCTTCTCACATGTTTCATCCGGCGCTAATGGAAGAAACAAAATCTCA